AGCAACATTAAAAGTGGCCGAGACATTATAATGTCCGGGTAATTCAATTTTGTATGCATTGTCATTAATCCGCTCCAATACTTTAAACGGGCCATCAGCTCGGGGTTGAAGTTTACTAGCGCGACCACCTGGGAACCGTGCCTTACTGAGGTGAATCCACACGAGGTCACCTTCCTTGAAAACCACCTGCTTACGACCGGTATTGGCCCGATGTTGATACACAATATTGTTGTTAATTATTTTTTCCCGAACCTGTTGATGGATGAGCTTAATTTGAGCAGCTCGGTCTTCCCCTTCAGCGCTAAAGTGGGTAGCAGCTGGTAACGGTGTGAGGTCCAATGGGGTAAACGGGTTGCGACCATAGACAACGAGGAAAGGGCTCATCCCCGTGGACCTGTGATTGGAGCGATTATACGCGAATTCGGCTTGAGGAAGAACAAGGTTCCACTGTTTGGGATTGGCTCCCACAAGGCTTCGTAGTAAATTTCCCAAAGTACGGTTCGTCACTTCCGTTTGACCGTCGCTTTGCGGATGATGGGCGCTGCTGAAGTTGAGCCGAGAACCCAACCGCCTCCACAATGTTCGCCAAAAATGCCCTACAAACTTGACATCCCGATCCGAAGTCAACGTTTTTGGTACCCCATGAAGTTTTACAACCTCAGCAAAGTATAAGCGAGCAATTTGACTAGCATCATATGTTTTTGAGCACGGGACGAAATGGGCCATTTTAGAGAACCGATCAACGACAACCATGACCGAGTCCTTTTGTCGTTGAGTTTTTGGCAGCCCCACTACAAAATCAAGACTCACATCCTCCCAGGGACCGTCGGGAACCGGTAACGGAGTGTACAAACCGGCGTTTGATTGATGTGTTTTGGCGATGTGGCATATGCGGCACCTATCAACAATCCGAGTCACATCTGTACTCATCTTGGGCCAAAAAAAACGTTCCTTGATAAGCTTTAGTGTCTTATCACGGCCAAAGTGGCCAGCCAAAGCGCCCTGATGTCCTTCTAGAACAATGGCATCTCGTATAGAACACTGAGGAACACATAGACGAATTCCTTTGAATAAAAACCCGTCGTTCATAGAATACTCACCTGCGGGAGTCGCCCTGCAGTCAGCCCATAGGGAYGCGAAGTCTGGATCATCCGGGTACAGGGTGCGTAGCGTGTCAAACCCATCGACATGTGCCTGAAGTGCTRTGAGCAGCCCTCTGCGCCTGCTCARTGCGTCGGCCACGATATTAGTGGCTCCCGATTTGTGACGAATAACAAACGAAAAATCTTGTAGGAGCTCGACCCACTTAGCATGTCGGGGGTTCAACTTATTTTGTCCCTGAATAAACCGTAAGGCCTGATGGTCAGAAAACAGAATGAATTCACTTGGTAGTAAATAATGTCGCCAATATTCGAGACTTCGAATAATGGCGTAGAACTCCTTGTCGTACGTACTATATTTCTGCTTGGCCTCACTAAGCTTCTCACTGAAAAAAGCAACCGGGCGTCCCTCTTGGCTAAGGACGCCCCCGATTCCGAATCCCGAGGCATCACACTCAACTTGAAACGTCTTCTGGAAGTTGGGAAGTGCGAGAACAGGAGCATTAGTAACACATTTCTTTAATTCCTCAAAAGCTTTAGTCGCGGCAGGCGTCCATCGGAACRAATTCCCTTTCAAACAATCGGTGATAGGGGCCATGATTGAACTAAAATTGCGAATAAACCGACGATAAAAGGATGCTAATCCGTGAAAACTTCGTGCTTCGTGAATCGTTGAGGGTGTGGGCCAGGTTGTAATGGCTTCGATTTTCGCCTCATCCATTCGTATGCCATTACCCGAAATAAGGTATCCCAAGAATAACACTTCAGATGATAGAAAACGACACTTTTCACTGTTGGCGTACAGTTTTTGTTCCCGCATGATAGAAAAAACCTGTCGAAGATGAGAAAGATGTTGTGGGAGGTCAAGACTAAATATTAGTATATCATCGAAATAAACGACGACACATTGCCCGATCAACGGCTTGAAAACGTGGTTCATTAAGCGCATAAACGTGCTAGGAGCGTTGGAAAGTCCAAACGGCATGACCATCCATTCAAATAAACCATCCCGAGTTTTAAAAGCGGTTTTCCATTCATCTCCCGGTCGCATGCGAATCTGGTGATAGCCACTTCGAAGGTCAATTTTAGAGAAAATTTTGGCCCATGGAGTTGGTCGAGCAGATCTTCGAAGCGTGGGATGGGAAACCTATATTTGATCGTGATTTTGTTCACTGCCCTACTATCAATACACATACGGTACGCGCCATTAGATTTCGGAACTAGTAATGCGGGGACGGCACATGGACTCATACTTTCTCGAATTAGCCCCTTGTCAAGGAGTTCCGTCACCTGTCTGTGTAATTCGTCATACTCCTTGGGGTTCATCCGGTAGGCGGGTTTATTAGGAATGACCGCTCCCGGAATAAAATCGATGCAATGTTGAATGGCCCGCATAAGGGGCAACCCTGCTGGAATCTCAGTGGGGAAAACGTCTCGGAACTCGATCACAAGTGGTCGGATCTCATGGGGAATATCGGCTGAACTGGGGTTAGCTTCGGTGATAACCATGGCGAACATCAGGCCTGGTTTTGTGGACCGTGTAAAGTCCAGGAAGGCTGATTTGTTAAGTATGAGTGCTTCAGTTCCGGTTTTCCGTGTATCAAGGGGGGCTAGCGTTACATTCACCCCGTCCTTCTTAAACGAATACGTGTTATGAAACCCATCATGGCGGACTTGTCTATCATATTGCCACGGCCTGCCCAATAGGATGTGACAAGCATCCATCGGAATCACCTCGCACCAAATCTCGTCCGAATAACGTGTGCCAATACTGAATTGAACCAGGCAACGTTGATTAACTTTTACCACGTTACCCTTCTTTAACCAAGTTAACTGATACGGCTCTGGATGTGGTTCGGTTTTCAGTCCCAATTTCTCGACCATCGTTGTGGATACCATATTCTCACAGCTGCCCCCGTCGATAATAACGGTACAAACCTTGCCCTTGGAGGTGCATTTTGTGCGAAAGATGTTATGACGAAGCCACAGGGTGTCATCTCCGGATCGGATAGGAGTAGCACTCAGAACTCGTTGAGCAATAAGAGCTTCACCCTTGTCTGGATAAATAATTTCAGATTGGTCTTCTTCCGGGGGTTCATCTTCCGTATCATAAACGGGCAATGAGTCTTCCATGAGGGTAACTAATTGAGTGTTCGGGCATTCCCTCGCGAAGTGACCCAATCCCCCACACTTGAAACACCTCGGTGCGCGTGATGGTCCTGAAGGGGTGTTTGACGAAGCCTCGGATTTTGCTGGGGTCTCGTTTTTGCTTGGTGTAAATCGGCTACCTATTGAAGTTCCCGATGACCCGCGTGAGAACTCGGGTTTAGGTGGGTTAGATTTAGTTACTGTCGACTTGCCTTTTGTTTTTAGTTGCCTTTCTACCTTCAAAGCTAGTTGACACACATCATTGAACGTCCAATAGGGCTGTAGCTGTACAATGTCGGATATCTCGGGTCGTAATGCCCCGAAAAAACGTGCAATGACCTGCTCTTCTTCTTCTTCTGCACCACACCTCATTCTTAACCTGTCAAATTCCACGATTAAATCCTCAACGGTGGACGACCGTTGGGAAAGATTATGATATTCAAGATAAGCCTCCTGACGKTAATTAACAGGCAAGAACTTTTCACGTAATAACTTACGCATTTTATCCCAGGTTATAATTTTCGAGCGCCCTTCTTGAGCCCTCTTTTTCTTCACATGCTCCCACCACAGAGAAGCGTATTTGCGAAGTTTAATAGCGACTAATTTAACTTTATACTTGTCCGGAATGTCTCGGAGCTCAAAAATACGCTCGACAGTATGAAGCCAGTCAATGAATGCATCGGGTTGAGCCTTGCCATCAAATTCGGGAATGTCTACCTTGACCCCCAAGTTACGCAACGGATCTGGTCGGTCTTCCTGTCGTGCAAACGGATTCCAACGATCATCATAATTAAGCGGGTTCTCTCGACCCACTCCCCCATCCCGGATGAAGGAATCGGTATCGGTTTCCTCATTGTAGACGCCTTCCTGCTGCAGCTCGAGATCCCGGATCCGTTGTTGCAGTCGAGCAATCTCCTCGATATCTCGTGGGTCTCGCCTATAATCCTCGTTGCCTCGGTCGGCGGTTCTACGGGGATGTCGATAAAAGCGCCCGCCACGATCACCCATCTACAATCTCGCTTGGAGCTCTGATACCAACTGATGCAAATCTGTTTGCTACTCAATTGATTAAATCAAGAACAACCACGAACGAAACTGGAATCGGATTAATAATAATTCTTTGAACTCAGAAAAACTCTCTGCCAAAACAAAGAAACCCCCCCAATTAAATACTAATCCCAAAGCCACCAATCAAGCCTACAACTTAGGGACGGAAACAAATCCACACAAAAAAACAAATTCCCAAAAATAAAAGATAGCAATCAAACCCAAAATATGGTAATCAATAACCAAAATAAACGATTCCAGCTTCCATGCTTGGGCCTAACCCAAGTCCTCCACCTGCTGCTGCACCGGCCCAGAGCTCACAACAGGCCCATGAGCCCAACCCGAGCCCACTGCATCACAGGTTGTCGGCTTCATAATCAAAATGATTTATGCAACATCGTACACGGATATGTTACTAGTTTTCTAAAAACAACAAGTTCATCATAAAATAAACTAAATCATAAGATCAATTTTTAAATAATAATTACATAAAACCACAAGGGTGGTGCCTGATTGTTTTGAGTTTGACTCCAAAGGTCAAAAGTACTAGGAGGTCTCAGGTTCAAATTCAAGGAGAAATAAAAACATTTGGTCGGCTTGGGATTAGTCGGCTCGCATAACGGGTTGGATATGCAGGTTAATAAAAATAATAATTACATAAATTAAAATATACAAAAATAATAACACCAATTACGTCTCATATTCAATACAAAGCTTGTTTCGAGTTTCGAAACGCCATTTAATTTCCCAAATAACTCAAGACACGCTAATGTCTGTGGAGAGAAGTTGCAACTCTTCAGCCTCAACATGTGTGTTCTGACGGACGTCCGTAGTACTACATTCTTGATCATTATTTAGGAACTTCAGCAACTTCATCGAAGTCAACTTCCCTCCGCAACTCCCGTTTTGCGAAATATCCACCAAAGAAGAAACGATGCTTTCTTGCATCAAAACATCTCGTAATTCCTCATGTTGATGACATAAACACAGTAAGATATGAAGTGCATTCTCTTGCTCTTCATCCTTACCTTCTTGATCAAGAATATCTCCAATGGATTCGATACAGTTTTCATCTCCGATCAATTGAGCAGCTGCTTCCTCAATCGTGCACAAATTCCTGAAGATTTTGACACAATAGGCAGACAGAATATAATCGTCGAGAAATGGCACCAGATGTTGGATGAATCCGAGGTATACGAGGTGGTCTCCAAGATTCGTGTGAGCCGAAAGATTACAAAGAATTCTTAAGGCGAAATTATGGTGTTCGCTATTTGGGTTTTTGATGAGTTCTAGAAGGAATGATGGAAGTCCCGAAGATACTATTTCCGAACTGTAATGTTGGTAACAGGATAGAAGTTCTAATATCGGTAAGGCTTCTTCAACGATTTCTAAATCCAGAAATAAGTAGTATAAGTAGTGCATTGCCTCTTTCGGTAAAGGTGGCACTTCACTTCTGTATCAAGTCATGAAAAATCTAATCAGTAGAAGCTTTCACTATAACAAAATCGGCTTTATATGATATAATATATCTAAAACCCTAATAAACTGTTTTATATAAGCATTAGAAGGGAGGAGTGTTACCTGGATTCATTCAAGAACAACAACAGCAACTTTGCTCCATTTCTTTTGGCTCCTGAATCGCCTAATCGATGAGCCCCTTTCAGAAACTTAAAAACTGTTTTGATGTAACTGGTAGAGACGAAGCTTCGAGAGCCGCCTTCCTTCGTCAACTCGTTGATTACATCTTCCACCGCCTTACATCTTAACGCCCATGGAAGCACCGAAAGCTTTCGAAGAACAAACAAGTTTGTGCCATCATCTGTATTGGTATCACGAGATTTACAACTCTCAGATTTATCATGAATAATCTTGCCAGATCCATCTTCTGTGCTGGAATCTGTAACATAATCTACGCTATTCGTATCTGAAGATTCAATTGAAACATCATCGTCGCCTTCCGGCTCTTCATTTGATTCATTAGAAATGGTTTCTGGTTCTTGTTCTACGATTGATTCTCCATATTTCCCCACGAGATATAGCAAATAGTTCAAGATTTTCTTTGCAGTAGGATCGGTATCCTGAATCTTGCTTAGAAGATCTTTTATGGATTGTTTTTCGACCGTGAGAACCATGGGGGATGTAATCTGTAGCCTAAAAGCTGCAAATTTGAAAGCATTGAGTTCTTCAAGATCAGCAAAACTTGATGCTTCTCTATGGCGTTGGAGTAAACTCAGTAGCACTTTTGCAGCTTCTTTGTCTGCTGAATCCATGGTAAAAGCCACAGTTTTGATATAATCAACAACATGGGATATCTGCAAGAACACCCAAATTGACATTGCATGAATAAAAATGTGAAAATATGTGGAATCTTTTAGATTACTTAAAAAAAGCCTGATAACGGCCCCTCCCTGACAGAAGCATGACACGCTGCTGGGCACTGATTGTCCCACTGAGGTAGACTAACGTTTTGATACCATATGTAGAACCCTTTGGATCACCGTCCTAATTAAAGAACCCTTGAGCAGAGTATAGAGGTTCCAACATATATTAAGTAGAAATGGTCCAAGCATACATAAACATAAAAGGCAGTGATACTCGTTAAGTGATGGCATGGTGAAGAACAAACCTGGGTAGCCAATTTGGGTTCGACCATGTCTTGTAGCTGGCTCAGACATGCTTCCAAAGAATATCGAAGCCTTTCGCACCTCCATATTATTCTCTCTCCACTGATTGCCTGAAAAAGAGTTTGTTGACCGTTTGTTACTGAAACAGTTAAGAGTAATACATCAGCTAGACTTGGACAATTTCTCTTTCATATACTTTGGAACCTCCCTTCTCTCATCAAAAGCTCTTTTGAAAAGTTAAGCTAACGGGGTTTCACATATTCTAAGATAGTATGAGAGCCAAGAATACTAGCTACCATTTGGGACATCTTTGCCCGTCTAATCAAGAAAGAACATGTAGCAAGCTCTTTTCTTGAATCGGCAAAGCAGAAAGGGATCAAACCCACATCATTTGTTAGGATATCCGGAACCCCCCTTTTGAATCTCTATCTATAAAAGAGCGCTTATAGAGAGAGGGGAGATTTCTGTCATCGAAGCTACTCTCGTTTACTATTTACCAGATAAAGAATAAGAATAATTCAATCAAGAAACATGAGGATTAGGAAACGTTTATATATACCAGATAAAGTTTGCTGGAGTTGGAACAATGTCGAAGCAGCAACTTGCACTTTTCCAGGCATTGGTGTAACGAGCACAGCGCCAGTATTCCCGATTGGCCTCGTGGTCGAGCAGATTCAATGGCTGTACGTATGGCTGTGACGTTGTCGACAATTTTCTCAAGTTTCAAGCATGACAAATGATGCATCTGTTTGATTCATCAAAATGAATTTAACCTTCATTTTTAATGAAGTCACTTCCTATAAAACAAAACTAAGGTATCAAAAAATGAAGGGGTGGAAACACCACTGCAGAATACGAACCTTATCTTCCTTTGCAAGAATCTTTAAACAGGTACAGTTCTTCCTCCTTTATCCTCTTCGGTCACCTGATATATATATATATATATATATATATATATCAAATACACAATTAATCAAGTTTGTTCATGTCGGGATATCGATTCTTTCAAATCCTGAGTGTATTTATATGTATATATCGTTTACAATAAACAGGTAAAAAAGGAAGAAACCATACCAGATTTACGATCACGAGCAGTTGAGTAAATCAATTCAAACCAAACGAATCCAGAATATGTCACCGGTATCATCAACGTTTGAGTCCCAATTTCAAGCCTGACACTTGAGAGAACCTATTTCCAAAAACCTGCAAATATAATATATAATATGGTTTCTTTGAGTAGTGGGGGTGGGGTATTTACAGTCACTTGATGTTTGTCTACAAATGCAAGAAGCATGTGTATATTAAAACTGATTTGATTTTTAGTTGACTTTGAAAATGAAGGTATATATTTATGGTCGTTTAAAATTCATTGTTAAGTAAGAGAGCTTGTGTATAACCCGTGTCATCTGGAATCATGACCATCCATGTGAATAATACATATATAAGTTTGAATTGTTCAAATAAATTAGTAGACTGAAGAGAAGATATATATATATATATATATATATATATATATATATATATATATATATATATGGTTGTGTTTACGTGAGACCAGTCTGTTTTCGTGAGACTCGTGAGACCACATTTTTACACTCGAAACTTCACAGCAAAAACACTATGAAGGTTTAAAAAAGTCGAACCTTCACAACAAAAACACTGTGAAGGTTACCTTCACAGCATTTTGCTGTGAAGTTTCAAGTGTAAAAAGGTGGTCTCATGGGTCTCACAAAAACAGACTGGTCTCACGTGATCCCAAATATATATATATATATATATATATATATATATATATCTCTATATATATATATATGTATGTGTGTGTGTGTATATATATATACATACACAGAGAGAGAATATGAAATGAATTATTTGAAAGAATTTCATTATATTAAACAATTTCGTAAAAAAATTTCACTAAAATAAACAATGAAGTCGACGGTTTTCACGGTTTGTACAAATAGCTTAGTTTGCATCTTATCCCACTCCTATATATATATATACACACACACACATATACACATATATAAGGGAATAAATCAAATGAAAACCACAAAAAGTTGAGAACCATAAGTACCGATCTAAGCCTTTATTTGGTCTTGATCTTATGCTTTTAATTGAAAGTTGTTTTTAATAAAAAAAAAGGGCATAATCGTCATTTTTAGTAACAATATTCACCGGCTAAATTAAACATAGAGATTCATTCATAAGATGAAACACACTAATTCACCGTATGAAACACACAAATTCACCGTATATGAAACACACTTACCATGTTATTTCACCTCATAAAATAAAGCATAATTTTCATAAATATGTTATTTCACCTCATGAAATCCAAACATATAATTTTCATCTCTAATCTATTCCATCCCATAAAATCAAACGAACTAAAAATAATAAATTTGGAAATTGATTTTGTATCGTTGAAAATTGATTTGAAATTTATAATTTTGAACATGTAACACATTATGAGAGTGAGAATATTACTTGCAAAATATTTATATAAAATGTTTTTATAAATGAATGCAACAAATTTTAGAAAATATTTTCTTAAAAAGAAAGCTAGATAAAATTAGTATGAAACATAAGAAAAATCGCTCCCCTGAACTTGGAGACACGAATCATGGCCCCCAATTTTCGTCCACGTTGGGGAATTACCACCTCCGATCACCGACATGGATTTCTGCCACCTCACGTCCCCAGCTTTCTTTGTGATCTGTACAGTCACCGCCTTCGATTGAGATAGAGACAGCATCAAAGTCTCGTTCACGGCAGCTCAAATGCCACAAGGATATCTGAATCAAAACAACCAGAACCTTTCCAACAAACTTTATGAATTGCTAATCTAGATTTAGGAGCAACACCTTTAGATATTCCGGCAACGTAACTGAACATACTAGCCTTAAATATGTATCTTACAGCGGCTGTTGACGTCGTGTGAGTATCGTGTCCATCGACGTCTCTCAAAGATCGACAAGGACATGTTGTTAAATTGTGAAGAATTTCAACCTTTCTAGTAGACCTTTGATGAGTGGATACAGCAAACAGAACCTCATCTTGACAAGGTTGCATTGAATAAAGCTCGAGATGAAAGGTTTTAGTTCAAACAATACACAGGTATACCAATAAAATTTTTATGTATGTAGTGTTATACATATGTATTTAATTTCTTTTGTTATTTTATAGGTCATGCGACTCAAATGAACAATTGAAACCCCTAGCACACAGACCAAACGGATATACTTGGTTGCATAAGGGATATTTCGTCAATGGTTACAAATTCCATATGGTAACCTATGATGCTGGGTGGGTCATACATAATAGCGGCGTATGTATGAGATGAGATTGTTATGACTATTAGAGGTGTTCATAAAAATTGCACAAACCGCCTACAGTGCACCACATTGTACAAAAAAGTGCAATTTAGAACATCCGCGATGCGATTTGCATTTTACCAAACTGCACTGTGTGCTCCAATTCAAGGGTTTGAGTTATAAAACCACGGTTCAAACCGCACCGCACCTCATATTTTATTTATTTCATATTTCATATATAAAGGATCGAGAAGAAATAAAAAGTGTGGACACTTGGGTACGTCACAACTCACACGTCCAATTCATTTTGAAGTTTATTCTTTGTACTTCTAAGCCTATTTTTAATTATGCAATATGTATTTGGGAATCGGAAGTATTGAAGCTCTTTTTTTTGAAATACGCTCAAATTATCGTTGATATGATAATGTATTTTCAAACATATAATTATTGGGTTGTAAGCATAAAGTGTGATAGGTAAAAATTGCATAAACTGCACCACACCACCTTTCACGGTATGGTTTGAGGTTTATGCGGTGCGGTTTGCGTTTTAAGAAAATGATCGAACGACATATAAGGTACGGTTTGCAGTTTTGAACCATACCGCACCCGGACACCCCAAATGACTACTCCGAGTTTGACTATTACGTATTGCTGGATGACATGTTACAGTTGGAATATCACGGCATAGGGGCGTTGTGTTGTGGTGTTGTTCAAGTATACTTGGCATTGGGGGGAGGGGAGTTAGAGTCGACCCTAAACATGGGTTGGTTGATATCAAATACAAGTCCAAAAAGAATCAACGATGCTTTCATCCTAACGTAACAGGCTGAACAAATGTATTACATACCATATTCTTCAGGCACAAAGAATTTGAAGGACTGGTGTTGTTGTCAAGACGAAACATCATGGAATATATGAAATAGCAAAATGTGTTAATGACGTCGAGGATGATGATAACATGGACGAAGAATAATTCTTTCAAATCAATGAACGGGTAACTCATATAATATCCATAGGATTAAATGAGGACCTTGATTTTGTCCGTCTTGTCACAAGGAGGTTATCGTAGTCGTCACTTAAGACCAAAATGATGTACCGGATAACGAAGCTAGCGACGAAAGAAGAATATGAAGACAAAAGCAATTATTCAAATAACAAAAATAACCTTATGTTATCTGATCATTTGTCTGAATTACTAGTGTACCTTATCTATGTAGACAATATTTCACAGTGGTAATAGCTTAATGTATGTATATTTATGAATTATATCTTTGTGTTTGTACACTTGTGGTTTTAAAGTCATCCTTCTGTAAATTCCTTGATGATGAATTGTTGTACATTTATGTAAATTTATGCATTTACACGTACATTTTGAATTTGGAGTAGTTAAACCAATTTTTTTATTTCAGATGGGATGTAACAATATGGGTAGGGGCTCTAGTAGGGGAAACATCAGCTCTGCCGGGTATGGTGACCCCTCGCTCCTACGAGTCTGACGATTACGTTGCTGGCACTTTCACCTAGGGATTGGATCAGATCTAGCGGGGGGACGAGACAGGGGCTATGGCTCCGTCTCCTGGATCGAGATCAAGGGATAGAGGCGTGAATACTATGACGAGACGCCTTATCATCCGAGTCTGTGGTCGTCCTTTCAGTTGTCAGATAACGAGTAAGTAGATGTGGTATAAGATTTCACTATAGTACATAATAAATTGATACTAATGTACTTTCTATTGTATATTTTTTACTTGTGAAAGTTTCTAGATGCACCTGTTGTCTGGTGGGTCATCTCCATCTTTAGGTCTATGTTCGATGGTCTGTGGGCTCACTATGATTTATGGGGATGTATCTGAGGCTCATATCAAGCTCTTGTTCGAGCATTTTAAGTTTATATATAGTTTGATATAAACTATTTCTTTCAAGTTTTTTTGATTTGATACAAATAATGCATATGCACGGTAAGTTTAGTTGGGAATCCCATATGAAGGCAGATGTTTGCAATGCCTTATGTCGTACCTTGTGTATTAGGTATCCAGACCAAATGAGGGATGCACGTAAACAAGTTGCGTTACATGTATTAGACGTAGATAGAGTGACCTTCGACAGCCAGGACTTCATGCCTCTTAAGGGACACCAACCGAACTGGATCCCAGAGACGCATTGGCTGGATATGATTGATCAGGTATGTGTGGTTGAATCTTTGAATGTTTTATAATTGTTTTTATACTGATTTATGTGTTTTTCTTAACAAGTATGGGACACCGATGTGTTTAAGCGTCAATCTAAGGCCAATCGGCCACCTAGTATGAGGGAATGTCGTCCAGGCACATTAGGGATATATTAGTGTCATTCAACATCATGAGCACATGGTAATTTGCCATCTACTATATTAATTGTATATAGTTTGTGAATATATATAATTTTGTTGTCTACTAACAACTTAAATTGTGTTTTGTAGAGAGATGCATGGGGCAGTATGCTGGTGAGCTTTTTGAGATGATGCATGGCACCAACAGGAAGCCAGTTTCAGATGCGACTGATCCACCCATGGATCCTCCGATCTACGTTTACCCGAAGGCGGCTAGAGCAGTGAGAAGTTCAATTTCCTTATTTAATTTATTTTGTTTTATAGGATTGATTAATTTTATAGGATAAATAACTATTTAGTTTGGGTTGCCATTGTTCGACAGACGATAGACTTATGGGATAGAGTTGCATTATATTTGTCTACAAGTTAGTTAACACATTTTGTTTTGGTAAACCATAAGAGACATATGCACATCTCAGGGAGGAGACATACACCGACTCAGATCCCAACACC